GACATATATAAATTGACTAATAAATAAATACACTTAAAGTGCACCAATAAAATTCAAAAAGGAAAATTTTTTATTTAAAGTATGTATGAATGTATGTACACTGCTCAAAAAAATAAAGAACACTTAAACAACGCACGCTAACTCCCAATCTTAATCAATGAAATATTCGCATTGAGTACTTTGTTCTGTACAGAGCTGAATGTGCTTCACAAAAGTTTGATTTACTTGGACTTAGCGTGCGTTGTTTAAGTGTTCCTTTTATTTTTTTGAGCAGTGTATGTATGCATTTATGAATGTATGTATGTATGTATGTATGTATATACTGTGTATATACTGTATATATTTTTAAGGGCAGTATATTTTTAAAACTGCATGGATTTTGTGAGGGGGTCCCTGGAATTTTTCACTCTTGTATGGGGTCCCCAGACCCCCAATGTCTGAGAACCCTCCACTTGACCTTAAGAATACTCACACCAAGTGTTTACTTGTGTAAAATTCTGTTTAACAACCTGTTAAAATACACCAGAATGCAGGAAATGGCATCTAATTTGTTCAAAATTTTCTGGGGCAGGACCCCCAGTCCCACCACCAGTGATTTTACACACTGTTTTCTCCCATGTGTGCCTCATAAGTATGCCCATCAGTCATTTTCCCGTAATTTATTAAGGAACTTGACTTCTTTGTTTGTTTTGACTCACCTTCCCAGTCCATTTCATGGTCTGTGTAGTCAAGGTAATCTCCCTCATCTGGAGTATCAAGATCATCTACATTGATGTCGAGGTCATCAGGTGTTTCCCCCAAGTCGTCCTCGCTCTGGTCCAGTGACAAGCTGATGCGAGGGGCAGAAAGCTTTTTCCTCTGAGAGGAACCTCCTTGCAAGGGTAGAGAAGTAGGCGGGACTGTGGGGGAGGAGTTTGGCGGGTGTGGTGGGGGTGCGGGGTGGCAGTGCACAAATGCAAATATTTTGAAGTGCAAAAAGTAAGATGTAGATTGTTTTTAATATTTGACTCACACTTACCTGGTCTGCTGTCATCTCCCTCTGAACTCATTTTACTCTCTGATGCAAAGTCCAACCCCAGGAGGACCTGTTGGATGTTGAAGAAAAAACATCATATTTTGTCACCTGTAATGACTTCTCACTAGACTTGTTTTATTCAGTGGAAACATTAAATTCTTGAATCTATGCTGAACTTAGTTGGACCAGATTGGATTGAATAGGCTCAGATGATTCAGATGTGCTGGAGAAGAAGCTACTCTCAATGGCTGAACCTCAGGTGGAGGAATACTGCAGATCCTGGACCAGGCTTGGAACACTGGACCAGCTCTTTACTCCTTCTAGGGTCCTTGATGGGGCACTGGAGTTTGTCCAACTAGTCTATATGTTTTGTGAACATAGAAAAGGGATTTCAACGTGTTTCCCAATCATGAGTATGGTGTCTTGCTCTGTGACCTCAGGATTCTGACTCTGCTATTTGCAGATGATGTGGTCCTGTTAGTGTCCAGCCCTCACTGGAGTGGTTGTGTGTGTGCTAGTGTGATGCAGCAGATATGAAGATCAGCAACTCCAAATCCGAGACCTTGGTCCACGGTCAGTAAATGGTGACTGAGCCACTTCACGAGATCAACAGATGGACTGGCGCAAATTCGGCAGTATTGCGTACTGGCCCATTGTGGTGAAAAGAGAGCTGAGCTGCAAGACAAAGCTCTCTGTTTACAATCTACTCAATCTCTGTTCATACCTGTAGTTACACATTCTGGTTGGTGACTGAAAGAACAAGGTCACAAATACAAGCAGTTTCTCCTCAGGGTAACTGGACTCCTCAGTTTAAAACAACCAATACCAATTTTATTAAAATAAACAAAGCAGGGCCATGTAGGAGTACGTCATTTCTTAAATAAAGTGACAGCATTTCTGTCATAAAAGTTCTGAACTAAAATCATCTAATGTTGAAAATTGGTGGAGTTATGTCTGCTTGGATCAAAACGGGAAAATGGGATGAGATTTCACGTGATCTGAGTTCAGAGTGTCTTGTGAAATATCCGTCCATTACACTTTAGTTTACTATCTTTAAAGGGGCAATATCATGTAAAATCAACTTTTTGAGTTTTATATCTTGTTATAATGTTATACTCTCATAAAAAACATGCCCAAAGCCTTGCTCTGACTCATTCATACATGTTTGAGAAATACTGCAGTGTTTTTAGGCAGCCATGCTGAGGAGCAAAACGACTGGTGGGGACCAGAAACGCCTTTTGGGACCAGAAACGTCCCTGGGACGTGTCTTTAGGCCGAACTTCCTCTTGGCAGAGCGCCCCCCGCCCCCCCACTCCCCACACACCCCGCCCATGACTCCTGCAGCCTCTCGGGTGAAACTGAAAGTGAAACTGAAACTGTCTGCAGAGTTCCTAACATTAGTTCTCACTCAGTGAAGCTCTTTTCAGATTAAAAATACCTTTGAGGAAATGTATTTTCAGACGCCAAGTAAACTGCATCATAGCGCCAACCCCCTCCCCACCCCCCACCCCTCACCCCGCACTGAAATGGGCGGGACAGAAGCGGAAGGTGGTTCTTGGTTCTTAGAGAGACAGAGGCCAATTTCAAGGTGTTCAGAAGAGGAAGTGATGAGAAGATAAGTTTATTTTCTATTTAAACATAAAACAGCATTTTAATAACAGCTAAAGTTGACATAGATACTTTATTATGGTATAGTATTTAAATATCTGCCTGAGAAACACATAATATTGCCCCTTAAAAACTGCTCTTTAAAATTACTCTTAATTATTTGTTTCATTCAAATCTGTTTAATGGCTCAATAGATATTTTGCTAACAATCAGGAAGAGTTGACTGTAATAGTCAAGGCAAAGTTTCAAAAGCAAATATTTTGCAATTTAGCAAATTTAGCAATTTAGCAAATTATTATTCATAGTTTGTTAGGGAGAACTCTCACCAAGTTTCAGCCTGATATCTGTAAAAGTGGTGGCATTAAAGCCATTTTAGTGTTTGATAATGTTGATGAGGACATCTTGAGGTACGTAGAAGTACATCCAACGATTATAAGGATTTTATAAAAATATGTTTCTGGTTCAGATGTTTTGCTAACAACAAACACACACACACAGGCAAAAACCTTGCTGTGACTGGGAGCAACAACAAATTGCACTTTTGATAAAAACCTACTGTAAATTATTAGTCAATCAAGTCTTTCCTGATGATCCTATCGTGTGTGCAACTAAACATGATGTCACTTTTTAATGCAAATACTGTGTCTTTGACAGATCAATAGAAATGGCATTATTTCTGTTTTCATGGCTGTCGGGCTAATTTATTGCGCAACTACTCAGGATTCATTGGCATTAGGAGTTTATTTTAAAAGTAATAGCTTAGCTTTACTTGTCAATATCAATGTCAGCAGTGCCACAAATCCTCTATCAGCCTGGCCCGTATTAGAAAGCATAACTACAAGACAACCCACCACCTCACTCAGCCTGGAGACACAGGCACGTCTTAATTTGTGTATTGATTTGAGCAGTAAAATAAAATAGACTTCCATTTTGAACGGAGAAACGGGGAGGAACAAGCCAAGCGGAGGTGGGAGGTAGATGGAGAAAATAAGAGAGATTGAGGTGAAAAGGTCATTTTCGCTCCTCTTCTGTTTGAAAAAAGGAGAAGAGGGAGGTGACACGCTGAGTGGTGCATGGAGAATGGAGCCGTGTGTGTGTGGTTGGGGAGAGGTGGCGGGGGGGACTTGTTACATCATGACAAGCTTGTCTCCCCCCCTCCCCCCTCACTGGCTGCTTACTGCTGATTCAAAACAAAAGCCGGCACGCTTGCCTGGCCACAGATTGGGCAGAGATGCAAATTCACTGAGTCATGTGACGAGTGCTCATTCGCATGAGAGAAAAAAAGAAAACGTCCTTGTTCCTCCTCACTGGGCTTTCTGCAGCAGACTGGAGATGTGATCACATTAGCAGAGGAAACAGAAATGCTTAATGTTTCTGTGATTCTTGCGCTGGTAACCAGACTGTAATGATGATTAGTCTGTGTTGATTATTATGAGTGCACACGCACACACACACACACACACACACACACACACACACACACACACACACACACACACACACACATACACATTAAACCACTGGAACACGGATCTGAACTGTGGAATCTAATAAAAATGGCATCTTGTGTACAGCCTTCATGAAGGATGCTGAGCTGCTACAGCTCTACTTCCACATCACAGCACAGGACCACAGTGCTGATGACAGCCAGCCCCTCCCTCATATGCTTGCTTCCTGTCTGCTGGCTGTGAGAGAGAAGGAAGAAGGGGAAAAAAACCCAGAACATATATCCCTTTCTCCTCCTCTTATCATCTCTGAATAAAAACAGTCTACTCACCGCTGCTGGGGCTCAGGAATCTCTGCTCCTCTGCGTCTCAGAGCATGAATGTACTGCCTTGTTTCCTGCTTCAAGCCTCTCGATGGAGATGCTCAGCTTAAAAACAGCTCACAGCTTCCACCATTTTGTGATCACGTGATCTGGGCCAGTACCAAATAAGGGCATCACCTGCTATAGCAGCTCTGAACAGAGCAGCTTCCTCAGGCTGTTCTGCTGAACAAGTATATATATA